ATTTGGATGCAGCTAATTGTGCAACGATAGATTGTTAAGCAGAGATGTCGAGCAGAACTTTGGCCTATTCGCCACAAACACGCCAATTCAGGGTCAATGCCTCGAATGGGGACACCATAAAGTACCATTTCGTGACGTGGAAATGTCTATCAAACAGCCTGAGACCTTCCATCGACTCCCACCGTCTGGGAGGGCGTTTTTACACCGGCCGCGGAGCGCCTATTGTCCCTTTAATAGACTATCGATCCCGACCGCCCCTGTTGACCGGACGGGCCGGTTTGTATGCGGTGTGAGATGGGCCGATCGACCGCCGGCGCGGGACCATCACAGACACTGGAGCGCCGGATTGGGCTCCTCTGCGCGTCTCTGTCTGGTGTCGGACTTTTTGATAGGTAGACTGGGGGTCGAACGCGTTTATGGCTGGACCCTGGTGGTAGTTGGTTTCGGCACTTACTGGAGCCAATTTGGGAGGTTTAACGTCCAAGATGAGCTGATCGATTTGGGTGCCCTGGTGTTGACAATAGCGAAATCCATATGTTGTGGTCGCTTCACATGCGACTGATGTTGATAGACTCCAATTCGTCTAACGTGCGGTCATTTGTCTCTGGAACCATAGGAACCCTCTTGCCTCGTCCTGTCCTGTTTCGTTTCGTCCCAAATCATCCCGTGTTGTACCGCATTGTCTTGTCTCATGTGCCGGTGCCCCGGTCAGCCCGCCGGCCCTATGCGACCCGACCGGTCCCCCATCCACCCAGCCCTGTCTGGTGACTTGGTTCTGGCAATCACTCTGCCTTCCGGATAATTTGGCGGCCCTCTTTGAGACCGGCCCGTCCCCTTCAAACACCCCGGTCACCGTGGGTGCTCCCTCTGTGTTCCGCCCCCCGTCCAGCCGGCCGCTGTGCTGTGGTGGCTCTGTGCTGTGCCGGCCCCCTGTGCTGTGCCGGTCCCCTGTGCTGTGCCGACCCTCTGTGCTGTACCGGCCCTCTATGCTGTGCCGGTCCTGTGCTGTGGTGGCTCTGTGCTGTGCCGGCCCTCTGTGCTGTGGTGGCCCTCTGTGCTGTGCCGGCCCTGTGCTGTGCCGGCCCTGTGCTGTGCCGGCCCTCTGTGCTGTGCCGGCCCGGGTCGCGGAGATCGGCGCCCGACGCCCCGCCCGTCCGATCAATACTCTCAGCTCGTGGCCGGCGCTCCACAGCGCTGTTAAACGAATAGGCGACCGATGCCCAGCCATATAAACCGCCCACTGGGAGCGACCTGATGCGAACTGACACTGTGAGGCAATGGTGATTATTGGAAGCGACTTGGCTTTATGTCCGCAAATTCCTGATACACATCAATGTCGTTTGAGTGCGTAATGACCATAGCAGCTGGCGCGACCTTGAGGCCAATAAAGAACCAAATGGAAATAATGATTAGCCTTTGCTTGTCAGTTTCTTGCCATAATTCGAACCAGTCAGGTCAAATATCTGCTCAGACAGAGCACTGCCGCAGATCTACTGACACTGTTGTCTTTCTCCCCGTCTCTGACCAGGTGTTTGACCTGCTGAACGCCAAGGCCAAGCTGCGCGTGCTCGAGGATGGCAAGCAGCAGGTGCAGGTGGTCGGTCTGACCGAGCGGCCCGTCGAGAGCATGGAGGACGTGCTGAAGCTGATCCAGCACGGCAACAACATCCGCACCAGCGGCACCACCTCTGCCAACAACCACAGCTCGCGCAGCCACGCCGTCTTCCAGATCATCCTGCGCACCCGGCAGTCGGGCGTGCCGGCCGACCGCTGGAAACTCTACGGGAAGTTCTCACTGATCGACCTGGCCGGCAACGAGCGCGGCGCCGACACCTCCTCCTCGGACCGCAACACGCGCATGGAGGGCGCCGAGATCAACAAGTCGCTGCTGGCGCTCAAGGAGTGTATCCGCGCGCTGGGCCGCAAGGGCGCCCACCTGCCGTTCCGGGCGTCCAAACTGACCCAGGTGCTCCGCGACTCGTTCATAGGAGAGAACTCCAAAACGTGCATGGTGAGTGGGGAGTGGGGTGCCGGGGGTTGGGGTGGCGGATGAATGGAGAGAACTTATCGGAGCACACTTATTTTAATGGGTTAAGAGAAGAAAGTGAAGACCTGCTCAAATTAGCATTATGGTAGCTTCAAATGCGTATTTACACGATTAAATATGATGTTATTTTGCGTGTCTAAAAAGCCCGGGGAATATCATCATGAAGGAGCATGAAGGAGCCTGCCAGTCTATTTGAAACCCTGCTTTGACTTGGGTTCGCTGTCACTTTCCCTAACATCTAACCCGCCTCGCCCTTTCCCCAGATCGCCATGATCAGCCCGAGTCTGAACTCGTGTGAGCACAGTCTCAACACGCTGCGCTACGCCGACCGTGTGAAGGAGCTGGGTGCCGCCGACCCGATGGACATGAAGCCGGAGTCGGACCGGGCGGGACAGGCCAGCCCCTCCCCGGAGCCCGACGAGGAGCGCATGGGAGTCGAGGGCAACGAGGACGACCTGGCCCAGCTCCGCTCGCTCAACGTGAGTGTCGCGTGCAGTCAGTTGTCTGGTGCCGTCTACCAGATTTTTATCGTCACAACATAACTTTTCTGCCCATGACCGCTGAATGACGCGTGTGCCATCCGCCCTCTAGAGTCCGCTGCGCGCCGCGCGCTGACTCTCTCTCCACCCCTTCCACAGGAGGGCGAGCTGTCCGCCGACCTGTACAACTTCCACGAGGCCGTCTCTCACGTCCAGGAGATGGAGGAACAGGTGCTGGACATGCACAAGGCGCTGATCGACGCCTCCATGCGCTGGCAGCAGATGGACATATCGCTGCTCAACATGACCAACGAGGTCGACTACGATGTGGACGGTGAGTGAGGCGGCGCCACGGGAGTGGTGGGTCCGGGTGTGTGTGGGGTGGGGAGGGAAGGGGCGGTTGGAACGGTTCGTGAAGAGTCTGGTAAATTTCATTTTTGTAGGAGGTGCTGGTTGTTGCAGGTTTTGCGTCCCAAGTCTGACACTGGATGAATGGGGCGAGTAAAGGATTATACGAATAGGTGATGTCAGGTATCCCATTTATTTGATTATACTATACCCTCTCCATCTCCCTTTAAATCGTTAATTCAAACGTCAGTGTTCTGAGTCGCTGGATCTCCCTCCGAAATTAGCTGTACTTTCTTTACCTGACTGATGGCTACCTGGCCTCCCGTGCCCCACTGACCGCCCCTCCCCCCACAGCGTACGTGCAGCAGCTGGGTGACCTGCTGGAGGAGAAGCTGGACACGCTGAGTCGGTTCCGTGAGCGGCTGTCCGTCTACCGCTCTCAGCTAGCAGAGGAGGAGCTGATCTCACGCAACATAAAGCCCACGCAGCGCCGGTAGGCGGCTCGCGCGCGACTCGTGGGGAACATTCCGCACCCGCCCGACGGCCGGGAGGTCACGGCCGACGGCCGAGCACTCAAACCGGCACACTCGTCAGGCACTCACAGCACTCTGAGCTACAGAGGCGCTCCCGAGGCGCCCGGGACGGCGTGAAGTGACCGCCTCCGTCAGAGCGGCGGCAGCGAGCTCGGCGTGCGTGTGAGCTGAGCTTTACGCGGACGGCGAGTGGCTGAGAGGCAGGGGCCGGCGACAGCGCGCGGTGTGGCGGCGACCAAAGCGTCTGCGAGACGCAGTGATCTGGTGTTGAGGGAGGCTCTATGAGTGTCCAGTGAACGTACGGTGACGAGCGGTGGTCGACTGCAGTGAATGCCCGGTGACTGTACACTGAACCGGCCGGTGATCTGAGGTGATGTTCGGTGAGTGTTCGGTGAACGGAGCGTCTCCGGTGAGCCCGATGGAGAGCTGGTGTGGTGATCGGTGCCGGTTCCCAGCGCCCCGGCGGCGCTACGTGGCGGTGCTCCAGGCCGGTAACCGTCGCTCCGCCCGACCGGTACACCGCCGCCGCGTCTGCCGCCTTCTGCTGACACGGAGTCGGTAGGATAACTGCACGGGCACACTGGCCACGAGAGCGCCCTCGGAGTGAACGAGATCGAGCGAATAGGGAGTGAGACCGAGTGAGAGTGAGAGTTGAGTGATAGTGAGTGTGGTGGTTGTTTTTGAGTGTTATGGAGTGAGTGTGGCGGTTGTTTGGTTACGAAGTGAGAGCGCGGAGTCGGCGGGAGGCCGACAGGGTCGGGAGAGTGCCCCGCCATTGGGGCGGGCGGCCCGCAGGCCCGGTTATGTTGTCTTACAGTTGTGCGTGTGCGCCTATTTAATATCTTCTTCTTCACCGTGACCGCTGGCGTTCCACTAGGAAAATTTTAACTGCGTTTTACGTGATAGCCTATGTAAGTAATAAAGTTAAATATATTAACGTCGGCGTCGGTTTTCACAATGTACACAGCGGGCGACACGGTACGGCTATCGTCGGTTGAAACTTAACATTACGCAGCCATATGGTAACCATACATGCACATGCAACAGACGACCGTCATTTATGTTACAAGCTGAAGCACAAAGGTACATCAATTGGCCCATTCATACACCGAATCTCTGCAATGATTCGGGTCCCGGCTCGGACTCACATTTAAGACCATATCTGTAAGTATACTTTATACCCTATGCATCACGACATGAACTGTACGCAGCGCCTCGTATGATTCATTTCTCGCCGGTGAACCGTGATGAATATTTACACGTCCGATCGACCGTTGATCCCTTATCGTCCATAGCACGCACGACCACTCGACACGTCGATGACTAACCCCGGCACATTCGTGGCGTCCATTCACACCAAACCACACATCGGCTCCCTGGGAGCGAATTGTCGCGCTCTGGAATCACAGATTTCACCCATGTTCTTTTCACTCTAAACATGCTCAGATCTTCTAAGCTTTCTTGCGATTTTCGTCTTGCATAACGCCTCCCACTTTTTGTAAGGGCTAGCGGTAAAGCACACTTCTCCGGCAAGGCTTAAGTCACACCACTGCACCGGCCGCCACCGCTCCATCGTCCTCCAGGACCCACTCTCCTCCCGTCCCTCCCCTCCCCCGCGGTCAGGGTATGCGCGCGCGGCGCGCCCGTGACCCGCCGCGCCTCTGTCTGACCAGCAGGGCCGTCAGCAGCGCCAGCAGCACGGCCAACAGCGTGGTCACAGCGGCCACCATGAGCGGCACGAGCGGCGTACGCTCGTCGGGCACCGCCAGGAAGCTCAGCGCCTCCTGGCCCGAGGTGAGCCCGCAGTCCAGCTGCACGATGATGGTGTTGTCCTGCGGCAGCGCCGGGTTGCGCTGGCAGCGCAGGCGCCGGATGTGCGCCAGCTCGTTCCAGACCAGCCGCTGGTAGAGCCAGGCGGGCGCCGAGGCCCAGGCCAGCCAGCCGGTCCAGGCGGAGAGCTCGTGCGGGTGCACGCTCCAGCCGGCGACCAGGAGCAGCGGTAGCAGCGCGGCGGCCAGCCAGCCGGCCGACAGGTGTCGGGACGAGCTCAGGTAGGCGGCCACTATCGCCAGCAGACGGACACACTGCAGGTAGAGCAGCATGTAGCCTGCCAGAGAGGACAGGGGACGGTCAGGAGTGTGTAGAGCATAGTACGGTACACGCCAGAGCCTGGAGGCAATTCTTTACATAATTGTCATTGCTTTGAGCTCATGAATGACCGACATCAAGATTATGCTCTTGAGATGAGCAGCACAATCATCGGCCCGAGCTCGTGCGCTCACCGAGCCGCGCCGCGCGGTGCTGCCCCCTACACTCGGTCCCAGTGCAGTGGGGCCACTTACCGGCGTACACGTAGAACGTGGAGGCCGTGTCGCTGGGCTGAGAGCCGGCCATTCGGTGCGCCGGTGCTACCAGCATAATACACTCGAGCGCCGAGCCCGGCAACCCGAAAAATATCTGACGGGGCAGAGGAAACACGTTAGAATGTAGACGACAATGTACGCATATTTTATATGGATTTGATTGAAATGAACTCATCAAAGAAGAAGCTAAACTTTAGCCCCGTCCAACTTGAATGCAGTCCCGTCCTGCCCTAATTTGTTTCGGCCCTAGCCGATTCTGTTCCGCCATGCCTTGTTCAGTCCCATTCCCTGTCCCTGTCGCCTCCCCCCTCTCCTTCTGACCTGACTGACGGTGTGGCACGCCCTGGAGTAGGGCCGGTCGTCAATATCCTCCCCTCCCTCTCCCTCCCCTCCCTCCCTTTCCCTTCTCCTCCCCATCTGACCTGACTGACGGTGTGGCACGCCCTGGAGTAGAGCCGGTCGTCAATGTCCCTGCTGACCACGTCCTTGTCCCTCCAGATGTCCGACACGGTCAGTAGCAGGCTCGGCCAGGCTGCCAGCGACAGCATGGCGTAGTGGAAGCCCGTCCGGTCCGGCACCGTCTCCTGGGAGAGAGCGGGGGAGCGGGGAGTGTGAGATGGGGTACAGGAGGGTGCTGTCTCGAGTGTTTTAGCAAGGCCGCTACGTTCCTCATATTCGATAAACTAGATTTAAGACATTTTTAATGCAGACTAAGACTGTTATTGTCATTAATGAGCGGGCTTATGAATGAATGAATGAATGAATGAATCAATGAATGAATGAATGAATGAATGAATGAATGAATGAATGAATGAATGAATGAATGAATGGACTAATGAATTAATGAATTAGTGGACTAATGAATGAATGAATGAATGAATGAATGAATGAATGAATGAATGAGTGCATATTGAATGAATGAAGAAGTAAATGAATTAATAAGGTGCAACGTCTAATGCGAATAAAATGTCCTCGAATAGATACTCAATCGTATCGAGCATCTCACTAATATCAGATTAGTATCCCCTGTGCCTCACCTGATCCCGGTCCTCCCCCCGTATGTCGTAGAATACGGTGCCCACTATCAGAGACATGATGCAGGCAGCCATCAGCCGCACCGCCCAGCCCATCACGTTGTACGGAAACTTGTACACGGTCGCTTGCCTGGCGGGGAAGGGAACTAGTTACTACACAATCAGTCGTGGAAGTGACTGGTAAGCGTTAGTTTGTCCGATGCGTATCAACGAATAATGCTGACTTTAGGCATCCACTATTCATAGAACCGAGAACGTGATAGTTAGATCAGAAATTGTAGGGTTACATAAATGAGTGAGCTCCCCAGAGGGCTCGCCCAAGTCGTGACTCGAGGCGGCAGTAGCTTGTAAGTACCTGAGACCCAGTATGCGATACTGCCGGTTATCCTAATTACATTCCACGCCGTACTCACACGGCCAGCGCCATGAGCTGAGCGCAGCAGCCGGCCCTGCGGACCCGCGGCGGCAGCAGGCCGGCCGGGCCGGGCGTCTCCAGCGTCTCCTGGCGGCGCTGGAACGCCTCCGAGAGTTCCGAGACGCGCTGGGAGGACTCCAGGTGCGCCTCCGGGGACAGCTCGTCCAGCGTCACCAGGTCCACTGCGGCAGCAGGGGAGGTCACCGAAAAATGAATGAATGAATGAATGAATGAATGAATGAATGGATGAATGCATGGATGAATGAATGGATGAATGAATGGATGAATGAATGAATGAATAAATGAATGAATGAAATAATGAAAAATCAAGTGTGAGTAAGCTGTGAGGGAGGGCGAGCCGGAAGGCAGATATAAAAAATGAGAGACCTTAATTTCCATTCGCTGCCGGTTACTGCCCTGCAATTTACCCCTGCAATCATACCCCTGCAATTTGCAAAGACACTCGAGTACACACTCACGGTAGTAATCGGACGGATTCTTGTAGGACGGACACTCGTAGTCGATGAATGTGAAGTAGGGCAGCATCTGCTTGGCCTTGCCGCTGAACACCAGCCTCCGGTCGGCCAGCAGCAGCACACGGCCCAGCATGTTGAAGATCTCATAGGTGGGCGGCTGCAGGGTCAGCATCACGATCCTCCCTCGGGCGGCCCACTGGCGCAGGTACTCGATCATGAAGAAGGTGTCGAAGATGTCCATGTGCCGGGTGGGCTGGTCGAGCAGGACCAGGTCCGTCTCCAGACAGAGATGGCAGGCCACGTTCAGTCGACACAGCTCCGACTCGGTCAGGTCGCAGACTGAGGTGTGCTTCACCTGGCCCAGACCCAGGTCCTCTATCAACGCGTTTATCTGCCGGGGAGACAGAGGGAACAGACAGTCAGGCGCTCAGTAAAGGATTAGTTAATAGTTCGCAAATGGCCATACAGCAGAAAACGGTACCTAATTGAACGGCCAGCAAGTAGTCTCTAAACGGTCAGCAGAGGTTAACAAACGGTGAACTAGGTACGTACCTGAATGTCATTGAACAGCAAGTCAACAAATGTTTAGTTAATGGCCCGGATAAACGGTGACTTACGGTCGATAGCGATCAATAAACGGTTGGTGGACGGTTAGTAAGAAACGGTTAATATGAAACTCTCCGTAGACAATCAGAAGACGGTCAGTTAACGATAGCCTACCTTGCAAACGGTCAGTTAACTACTAATTACAGTCCTTTATCTACTAAAAGACAGTCAGTTGACGATAAGTAAATGTTTACTGAACGATTAGTAGACGATCAGTACAGTCAATAGACGGTCATTCAATAGTTGTGTAATAACGGCGATGTAATAAAAACGACAGTGAACTAAAGATTAACGGTCAGAAGACGGTCAGTGGACGGTTAGCAGTACTCAGTAGACAATCATTATTAGATCAGAAAGCTATCAGTCAGCAACAGTCAGTAAACGTTCAGTGAACGGTCACCGGTCAGTGGACGATTTGTGGACGGACAGTATAAGCGGACAGTAAATATTGAGCAAATAGCTAACTACAGGGATTCCGTTGATAGTCATCTGTAGCCCTCTCACCCTCTCACCCATCTGTACCCGCTCACCTTGTTTTTGGTGTTGAAGCAGCGCGCCACGTGGCCCGGCTCCTGGAGGAAGGCGTGGAAGAGCAGCGTCTGACGGACGGACAGGTGGCCGCTGAACGTGCCGTCCCGCTGGACGTAGGTGAGCCGCTCGGCCAGCCGGGCCGGCAGCACGGTGGTGCCGTTCAGCGCCAGCTGGCCGCTGATCCTCAGCTGGCCGCGGCTGCTGCAGTCGCCCAGAACGTCCAGCAGCGCCGTGCCCTCGGCCTCTGCACGGAGAGAGGGGTGGGGTTAACGGTCAGCACTCACACCTTGTCCGGAGACAGGACGGGTCAGGGATGAGCCCTTGCCCTCCTAAAGAGCGGGAAACGGAAGGCACGGGTGAGATGTAGCGAGAATATTTGGTATCTCTCTCTCCTTCTCTCCCTCTCTCCCTTTCCCACGCCTCTCTCCCCACCTTCCAACTCTCACCTGAGGTCGCCATGATTCCGACCAGCTCTCCACCGCGCGCCTCGAAGGTCACGTCGTCGAGCATGCGTCTCCAGCCGCCGGGCCGGGCCACCCTGCGCTCGCAGCCGAGCTGGCGCACCTGCAGTTGCGGCCGGTTGCCCTCCAGCTGCTGGTCGGGCGGGAACAGGCGGGCGTTCAGCATGGGCGGCTCGCGGTCGGGCGCGGCGCGGCCGGCGAACCCGGCGGGCCGCCCGCCGGCCGGCCGCCGCCGCTCCAGCCGCGCCACCAGCTCGCCGTGGCTGGCCAGGTCCTCGTCCGATTCGGGAGAGGCGTTGGACTCGGCCGACAGAAGGTCGGCCTCGCTGCTGGCGCGCGCACGGCTCGGTAACATCGAGTCGCCGAAGCGGCGCAGTCCGCGGCCGCCCTGCAGCCGCAGGTCGGGCTGGGAGAGGGTCCGCCGCTGGCGGCGCCGGCGCCGCGCCGCCGGAGAGTCGTCCCCGCTGGAGTCGTACCCAGAGCTGCCGTCCGGCCGCGGCGGCGGGAACACGCGCGGCAGGCCGTTCTTGAGGTATTTGTACATGTCGGCGCCCACCTGGGAGCGCGGCCCCAGCGGGGTGCCCCGCAGCAGGGCGCTCTCGCGCAGCTGGAAGTTGCCGCCGGGAGGGATGGGCGACTTGTCGCTACTGCCCAGTGCCGAGTCGGCAAACTCCGAGTTCAGGTTCTGTCTGTACATCGACCATGGATGTGACTCGTCCGAGGCGTTCAGGTTACGGTGAGAGCCGCCAATGTTGCGGTGAGATCCGCCAAGGTAGCGGTGTGAATCGCTGCGATTTCGGCGTGAGTCGCCGAGGTAGCGCTGCGATCCGCCAAGGTGTCGCTGAGGACCGCCCATATTACGTTGGGAGCTGTAGAGCGCCTGCCATTGTCGGGAAGCCGGGTACTGTCGACCCATAGCGTTCAGCTCCCAGGCATCCGGTCCATCCGATCTGCGGGAAAAAAGAAACGGTTACAAGCTAATTCGGGTCTGGGATCTCGAGAGTGTAACGACTTTTGTGTTACCTACACACCCAGCAGCATTGCTCCGTTTTCATTGCGGCTCTATGTATGAGCAAACAGAATATAGCCGGTCTGGCGCAATTGTTCCAGAAACCACATGTCTCCTGTCTCTTCTCCACATTGGCTGATCGAAGTTCTCCCATCTCTCCCGCAGTCTGTCTCACTTTCCCAGCCCGATAACGGACTTTTCACACCCGTCTGCCACCACAGGCAGTGGCCCGAACGAATCTCGTGTCCGGCGCAGTCTCACACCTCGGCACGGACAGACTCGCCGAAACAGCACCAGTGGAGCTGCGAGATTCGGCCGTCATGTGAGATTTCTCCGCACCATCAGTTCGAGATTTTCAGTTCGAACTCTCAGTTCCCACAGAGGTTGGCGGACCGAGGCAGCGGCGGTAGGCCCGGTCGTGCGCGGAGCGGAGGCGCTCAGAAGCCGACCGCCGGCTGGGCTTTCTACTGCGGGTTGCATCAGACTTAGAGGTTAATCATGGAGGTCGCGGGGTCACTCCGTCGACCCGACCGCGGCCGGTGTGGAAGACCGCGATATAGACCGCGCATCATGTCAGGATGTGAAATCGCTCCCAGTGAGCTGCTGTTCAAGGCGAGGCGTAGATGTCAAGCTTCAATGCGTGCCTTCAAAGATAAATACAGGCATAAACGACAACACTGCTCGATCGCAACTCAGATGTGAATATTTGCACATTCAAAACAAACCGTGACCTATATCTAAGTATCGCTGAAAATAGCCGCTAGCGCCCGTACCTTATGCCTTCCTTGCACCACGTATCTTATTTACAACAATCTCCCCGTGACCACAGACCATGAAACGGATAACACCGCCCGCCAGCATTCCGTCACGGATGGCTTCACACATAACGGCGCCGGCCCACTGCCGTCTCCTCCTGCGACGCTGCCACCAGCCAGATCATCGCCGCCGATTACCGGCGGCGGCTCGGCTGACCCGCGGGGCCCGGCCTGCCCCGCGGCCATCCCAGTGACGTCACGCAGCGCGTGCCGTGACGTCACGCTCGTCTGCTAGCGGGCCGTCACGGTCGGCCGGGAGTGGCGTGGTGTGCGGCGCGGCGCGGCCGGTGTGGGGTACGGGTACGGCGCGTCCCGGCCCCGGCCGTGACACAGGCCGGCAGCCGACCAGAGTCACTGGGCTGGGAGAGGATGGGGATAGCGATGGGAGTGTTGAGGAACTTGGACAGAAATCTAAAGGTTCATTTGTACGCGTTATACGGACAGCCGTTCCGCCATTCGACCCTGCTGATGGTATTGGAGCCTTCTCGGGATGTGCAGGAAGCGTCTGCGAAAATAACCTCAGCAATGGAAGCATTAATCGTCAGGCAATATTTCAGTAACACAGCTTCAGTGCCTATCTGGCCATGCGCAATCTGGATATTCTCTTTCTGCCACTTTTGTTCTTTGCTGAAAGTTCGTGTTCGAAATTACAGACCCTTCATCCATGTCTTTTTTGCACATCTCTGCTCGTCCCTCGGTTAAAAATGCCTAAAATGATTGACCGACATCTGGAGTAGCCTTTCCATATTAGCCTTGTCGTTCCTCCCTAACCTTGCCACGGGTCACTGCACGTCAAGACGACGCGTTCACAACCACAGCCGCGGTCACAGTGCACTGAGCTGAGTCCCTTCAAGCAGACCTTCTGTCGGCTGGCCGGTGAACAAGTGATAGGATACGTGGTCGGGTCACTCAAAATGACGTGGAAGAGACACACGCTAAATTCATTCAGCAGCAGAGATCCGTAGTGGGTACGGGTACGGCGACTTGGTTAAATACAACTAAGGATGACCGGCGACAGGACAAGTGTCAGGGCAAGAACTGCTACTTTGCAGAGGCGTGCATGCATTAAACATTCACCCAGGCCAGATAAGAAAAGGAATTATGTAGGCGGTTGCTAGGTACGGTCAACCACCTTATTTGCACTGAATATCCTTTGCATATGCCGCTATATGACACAGCCGCTATCGCACCGAGAAATCGGATAAGACATCTGATCCAACAGCACAAATATGAGTTGTATGCAAGCATTTCAAGACCGTAACGAGCTTGTCAATTGCCTTAAAAATGGCGACGTAAATTGGTAGCATCGAAAGCGCTAGCCACTCGTATCGCAGGCAGCAAGAGACACCTCTCGAGTTGCCCTCGATTCAATTGCGTTCGTCAGGCTCTCGCCGTTTCGCCGCCACATTAGCTGTGACGCGTGAGGAAAGCGACACCCATGGAGGTCCGTTCGGCCAGCCGTCGCCGCTGTCTCCGCCGTCTGTGGCGGTCCCATTCACCGGCAGGGGGCGGTCCAGTCATCGTCCAGTTTCTCCGGGCAGCAGCCGCCTGCCGCGCGCCGGGCATGCTGTGCCGCAGGACACCGAGCCGCCGCCCGAGACGGGCGACTGCGGTGGAGAGTAGGGCACTAACACCGGAGACTCCAATGCAGGAGGAACTAACGTTCTGACAAGGCCACTAAAATCTGCGGGGTGCTAGGTGATTGGATAGATATTGTTATATTTAACCCGGCAGTTGCTGGGGTATTTCGCCACCCACCGTTTGCTGGGGGGGGGTTTAACCCCCCAGCCGATAACTCGAGAACCAATAAGCGCAGCGAAACGCACGAGGCGGCAAACGAAAGAGCGCGACGAGACGCTTCAGATGAGTACTTTAAAGTTGAATTTTGAGGTCACAGGTCGGGTCAAGGTCAGGTCAAACACCTGAAATCGGGCTTTCAGTAGCATGGACTTCAGGATTTCGCAATGGGCGCCTCTCGCCATAAACTCTGTCAAAACGGTGCACAATCCACCCTATAAGGCCTACAAGAGTGTCAGCTCCATATAGGGGTCAGTCAAGCATAGGTCAGGGTCAAGGTCAGGTCAACCGGGTAGGCACATATCCCCGAAAATCAAAACTGATATTCGCAGCCTGTGACACATGTTTTATGGGTAATTTGGGGCGTAGAACACGATGGTGACATTCATTTTATCTTATGTGTACGTGTTCGGCTCAAAAACTTCAATTTAAGAAATTCATGTATCATGGTCGTGAAGTAGTCACGAAAAATTGCCAAGATTCAGTTCAAGATTTTGGAAAATGCGGAACGATAATCAATAATCGAAGATAGCCATTTGATTGATCATGGTATTGGCAGTCTAATGGCGTTTACGGCATGTCTGTATGTCTATTCGGTGATTTTATATGATTTTTTGAACATATGCCGTTTTTGGTCGAAAACTCAGAAATCATGACGTCACTAAAACCTCGATATCTCAAAAATTTTCCGACCGATTTTTTTGAAACTTTGTCACAATAAACTTCAATAAATTCCCTACAGGTACCCAAAATTTGGCGCGCCGCGCCGTTTTTATGCTATGGCCCGGCGAAAAAAGTGGGGGCGTTTAACGCCCCCCCCCCCCAGCAACTCGCGGGTTAAAACAACGAAAAAAGTTCAAACAGAGGTGCTGCAATGGTGGTTCTGAGCATTTATCAACGCATCTCAAAATAATATTAAGTTATGCACTATTCTTCATTGAACTAGACCGGCAGCTCGAGCCGGCACCTGATAGGTATATAAATTGTGAAAAAACAACAAACGACACAACTAAATTCTATTCAGCTAGCTTATACCGGGTGTCCCAGAAGTCTTGAAGCTTTTTTATTTTTGTCGTGTGACCTTGCTATGCGACCGATTAAGGCGAATCATGCCTCAAACGAAAGAGAATGAACTGAAATTTTGTATTTCCATGCGTAGAGCACCACTTTAGTCAGGTGGCCCCCATTGTGAGTCGCACAAGAACGAGCGCGAGAGATCACGTTCTTCGCTGCCGCCAAGATCTCCCGGTTTGCGAAACACCGGTGTTGCCATGCCCGTTTCTTGTCAGCTTCAGAGTCTTGTAATTCCAGCTTGTAATTCTTGTAATTCTTGTAATTCCAGCTTGTAAAGCTTGTAATTCCAGCATACGAGTATGAAGTCAATCCAGTAGACTGATGAACAGGGCTTCATGAAAAAACAACAGGTCGCCTAGGCTATTGTCGGGAATGGCCAACACCCCATATTTAGGTATTTGTGATTCATTTCCGCGGGAGAGGGTGGAAATCGTTTTCCCGTGAATGGCCTATTGACAGTTTTAAATACGCGTCCCTCCCACCAGGGAAACGGAACATGAGCAGTTCCGGTTTCCGAACATGTTAGTTCCGCTATCGAATAGTGAAACTCAAGAACTATTGACTAATAGCACAGGCTGGAAGTCCTGAATATCCGCCATCAAATACACCTCAGGCTATTTAGGACTGCTTCAAAAGAGTGAAACTATGCAGACGATGGCTGCCATCTGACTCGTTGCCGGCCGCAGCGGTGGCTGATATGGGCTCCCTGGTTTGACAGTTGACCCAGGGTGAAAATGCAGCTCTGTTAGATCCATGGCGATACGACGAGCTGACGACCTTTTGGTATCATAAAATGTCTGCCCACGTGTACGGAAGCATGCCCATGTACGAAGTGACTAAGAGCTTCGATTTTTGGCTTGGTACCATTCCTTACCTAATAATGGCGCTACTTCCTTACCTACAGAACGACTCTTCACTTGGCTGGAGATCGTTCAGGTCCACTTTCCTGCACCATCCATTACTTCTGATAACAATCCAGTTGGTGAATTATAGCCACCCATCCCGACATTTCTGATCGGGTGGTGTGTGAAGATGTTTGCAGTCATATGTTGCTGCTATGAGACCGTTATAATCGCTTAACTGTCCTGGCATAGACCAATTATCAGCCTTATCATACAGCATGAGCAGTGATTGTGATGCTCATAACTCATAACCATGCAAAATTACCGCCATTTTAGGGCATATTTCCGATGATTTCACAGGGTTCAAGAGTCTCGTCTTCTCTTGTGACGACAAGTATGTAGGAAGCCCACCTTTCAAGTCACATTTTCAGAGAAAATCTCACTCATGTCTACCGGTTCAGGCAACAGGTAATCCATCCTGAATACAAGCCAACTTGGGGAGCGTTTTATCTTCCCAGGCTTCCTCATAGATTCTCGCCCCTTGCTCACTAACTTCTCCAGCATTGAACTCAGGCACCTTACAATCTGCATGAGGTAACCGGTCTGTTCGCAACCACCTGACGCATCCTAAGAGCTCTCCAGTTCAATTTGTCCAGCAGACAAACCATAATATATCTACTGAACCGTTAAACATCGCTGCGTCCATCATCTCCGTCCGACGAACACATTCTATGTGTTTTCTGGATGGAGCTGAGCTAGCCACCGTTACTGACGCCACTTTGAGTCAGGAATGGGCTTACGTCCGGTGCATTCCAAGCACTTTCCACTAGACGACAGACTGACGGTCACTTCTCTCCTGCACCAGTGAGCATCTGTCCACAGTCACCCAGCACTCTCCACTCTCCAGTCTCAGTCCGACCAGCAGAGAGACCGTCACTGCTCCGTGTACCGGGGAGCGTCTGCCAGCAGTCAGCCGGCGCGTCCGTCCACTCACGGTCCACGCTCTCCCCACCATCTGTGACGGCGGTCGGTCTCACCGGCCCGAGACGGGTTCTCACGTGGGTCTGAGAGCAGCGGACAGCGGCGGGAACAGTTAGCGGCCACGGGGAACGGCAGAGGCCGGGATGGAAGATCTGCAGAGGGAACGCGAGCGGCCAGCGAGTAGGCGACACAGTGAGAAGAGGAAGGCAGGCGCAACTAATCAGAATACTAACTCGCCGCAGTTCAATATACAGCGGGCCAGCGTAACCTAGGCTGTATCGGCCGACTGCCGCGTCCAGGCAAGAGCGATAGACAAGCCTAGAAGCAGGAGCGCTAGGCTAGCAAAATGAAACACCGACGGGTCTCAGATGCTGTGACCATCGCTGACAAGAGGAATCAATCTCGTTCATTTAGAAATAAGAAACGGGGAAGCACACACCAATGAACCAGCAATCTCCCAGCATATGACTGAAGACCAGTTACAGCAGCCAGTAACATAACTAGAGACCACATACAGCAGCCCGCGGGCTCGGTGGAGCACCTGGCGGCCCAGTGATTGATGACCACTGGTGTTCACCGTTCAGCAGGAGGCCAGGTGGCCGTTATGACTGTACGGACGGATACACCACGGCTGAGAGTAGCTTGGAACGACACAGAGCGATGTTTAAATTCCACGAGCGACGAGCATTCATTAGCAGGGATAACGCTTTGCCATCTGCTTGTTGACTCATCAGAGGACCACTTTCATGCTATCCATGTAGTAGGAGCGGATCTACCTTTAGCAGCAGGTGCTCCCTGTGCTCTATGCATGACTTGCGTTGGCCCTGGCGTAAGCAGGAAACAACACAGTCCCCTCCACCGCAATGTGCAGTGTCACTACGGGATGAAATGGCAGATGACACAATAGGCGCGACACTTCAGTCATGTCCTTGAGCTTGTTGGAAGGTACTTTGAAGTGCATAGCATAACATTGGTGCTAGTTGCCACTGCTAATGACAATAGCGTCATTCAGACAGGGTTGGACTGAGGTTCAGATGTTTTACGGCAATTGGTTTCGTGGCATAGAAAAGGCTGAATTCTTTTACAAAATGATACTGAAATCGCGTTCGATGGATGTTTGTGTAAAGTCCCCGTCCAGAAGGACCATGACAAAGCCCATGTCGCCGGGGATCACAACAGGAAGACCGGCCGGCCGTCCGTCCGTCCCTCCGGACCGGAAGTCGGAGTCCATTGTTGAAGTCGAGAGCCACCGTGACTCGTCACACCGACTCAGAGTCAACGAGGCGTGACACAGAACACTGAACCTGTGACTTACATTCGGCTTCTATCTGCGAAGTGATTCGATCCATTGGTGTTTCGACCTATCTAATGTTCCGGTAAACACAGCCACATATGCTGTTAGGATCTCAACGATTGTGAACAAAGAGAGATGCTGAAAATGACAGGGATTCTCTTGCTGGGCCTGGTCGTCAATGGAAATAATACCGACAGATAGGTAAGGAACGGAATGACAGACATCTAAATAACATTACACGGCATGACAGTAATGACATACCTATTGTCGAATATGAGCGTAGCACGTGGCGATTTTTCATTACTGCAAAAGAGCAGAGTGCAGATAGAATGATTCGGTTAGTGCTGATTGAGCGCAATCCATTATATCGACAACCGATATCGTGCATACAATGTTTTCCTGTTGCTGATAAGATATTTTCGGGAAGGAATGACAGAGAAGTGCAAATACACATGAGAGACATCCTTGTCATCTAGGCAGCATTGTGACGTAAAGATAGTCATCATTATTCATGATCACTATACGATCTTGTCAGCTATCACCGTACCTGCTCCGTGTCCTCAGTCCTCCGAACATGCCTCCTCTCCCGCCCGGCCTGGCTCGCGCGCCGGTCCGTCCACACCGTCACAGCGCACCGTCCGGCGCCGGGGCGTCACCGCCCGCACGCGTCACGCTGGCGGGCGTCACGGCGTCACACTGGCTCGGCGCCGGCGCCGCCCCGCCGCCCGTCACAGCCGAGCGACCGCCGCTGCCGACGGTAGAGCCGCGCGCCGCCGCTGATTGGTCGGTAGAGCGGTAGAGCCGGCGCAGCTCGGTCATCCACCCGCGTCGGTCCGTGCCGGGCCCAGGACGGTACTGTGGTGATGAGCACCGCTGATGACTGTAGAGGACGGATTGTAGTACTACATGGCTCGGGAACGCCGTGTGGTGCAGCGCTGACAGCTCGGGCCTCGGGAGCAGACTGAGACGAGCGCTCTCAATAGAGTTAGTCGAAATGCTGCGGGCAGCCTTCACCTATCTGAGGTTGTATGCCTCACCAGTCACCGAATCCCTTTTTTTGCTTTCTGGTCCTCCTCCCTCCCTCCCCCTCTCTCTCTCTCCCTCCGTCCCTCTCTCTCACTCTCTCCGCCACTCCCTTGCCTCCTTGTCTCCCATCCTCTTCCTTCCCTCCCTTTTCTTTAACTCTGAACTCTCACGCTCCCTTTATTCCATTTGCACCAACGTAGGTACTTAGTCACTTTGTTCTTCGTAGCCAAACGTAAAATAGTGTTTACCTTTCTTTTTATTTATTGAATCACAAGCAATGATCACAGCACATTTCGTCAGAGTTAAAACACACCGGGGACAAAAAAGGCTTCCCTGGGAGATCAGCGCAGCCAACGCACACATCCATGAGGTGATACTCAGCACTGTAATCTCCAAAAGAACAACAATGCACCCAACACTCATGCGTATAAGGAACAAAACGAAATACGAATTAGAACACATCAATTGCTCACATCTATAGCTTACAAGACACATCACAGCACCACATTGCTACGAGTGACTGAGAGTATCACCACTGGCACATCAACCAGGTACAAGTTGATCCAACATGACAATCGATAAGTTCGTAATGATGGCGCAGAGATCACAAAACACCAAAGCCTCAGAACCGCAGGGAATGAAGAGCGACACTCACAGCGCACCAGGCGAGTAAAACGACTAAGAAAACTGAGCTACACCATTCTGACAAAAAAAAGTTCGTTACCACCGGCGCCGAGCAACTGAAATGACCACAGCTAGCAAAAACCTAGTCGGATAGTGTGACAAAGAGGTTCTAGCTGGCTTGGCACCACAATACGGCCAATGCGCACAAAACTATTAATCGTGACTGAAAAAGTGGCATTCATATCGAAGCACACACTATAAAAACGACTAAGCAAACGAGGCAACACCATTCTGACAATCACAAGCTCGTCACCACCGCTATAGTGAACTCACTCGCGTCTGTAGGAGTGGCGGTACGTCTCCCTGAGCAGCACCTCGTCCAGCAGGGTGTACCTGACCTTGGAGTCGGCGAAGCGCTGGTTGATGTCTCTCCGCAGCCACCGGGCGAAGCGTCTCCTCTTCCTCCTGACCCTCTGCTCGAGTTTCTTGTTGTAGACGTAGAGCATCCAGCGTCGGGCCCTCTCGTAGGCCTCTGCCGCCTCGTCGCCGTCCGTCTCCCAGGGCTCGGGCTGCTCCTCTTCAGAGGACGTCGACCACGACCAGCCGCTGCTGTCGCTGTCACGGTCGCTGTCACAGTCACTGCTGCTGTCACTGTCACTGCTACTGTCAGATCCCGAGGAGGATGCAGAGGATGATCCGCTGCTGCTGCTGTCAGAGTCGGAGTCAGACTCAGAAGATGACGGAGATGACGTCGTGCCAACAGCATCTTCTTCCCCGTCACCAGCGTCAGACAGAGGTGACAGCGGCGGCGGTGGCAGCTGGCAGGAGTCCTCAGTGTCCTCACGGAGGGGAGACAGCGGCGGCGGTGGCAGCTGGGAGGAGTCATCACTGTCCTCACGGAGAGGTGACAGCGGCGGCGGCGGCAGCTGGCACGAGTCCTCGCCGGTCCCGTTGCTGCTGTAGCCAGGGCTGTTCCCCCAACAGCGCAGGCTCTGAAAAGGAAAGAGAAGATTTGGTTAGTTCGGCAGGTTGTACATTACACTGCTAGATTCCAGCTCACAGAGAGTAAAACCGCCAGTTATAGGGGAAGATGGGAAAACACCGCCCTTTGGGGAACACCGCCCACCCCGATATCAGAAATATGAAAAGGTCTAGGGCGACACGCTGTCTTTTGGCAGCGTGACGTCAACAGAAGTGCAGGTATGGGCAGTGCAACGCATTGTTTTGGGTGATTTGCGAGAAATTCCGAATTTTACGTTTCGTGAATACGTTTTGTACTCTTTCTAGCATAATTAGCAGAATAAAAATTATCTTATTTGACAGACAATAGTCCTGAAGTGGCATTTTTTGCCATAATTAGGACTTATTCAAACGTTTCATGCTTCTGCTCGAGCGCCATTTTTGTCATGCTGCCATATTGAAGAATTTTGTAGAAAAATGCAGACCCTTGGGTAACACCGCCCACTTGAGCAATTTGGTATTTAATAGCACATTGTGATATCTGACCCAGGAGTGACGTATTTCATATAAAGAAAGAACGTTGTTGCTATGCTTTCTTTTTTACAAGATAATGATGAGAAAATGAAATTTTGGGGCTTAAAGTCGTCTAGTTTTATAAATGAGTTATAAGTATTATACCAGAGATATACCTAAAAAAATTGTTCACACTGCATTTTATGAATATACTGAAACAGCTCGAAACTTACGATAAGAAGAACAACTTAATAGTTCAGCAATCTGCAAATTTCGTTGCCTGCTGAGCTCGGGCGGTGTTACCCCGAAAAATGTAGACTTTTACCAAATGTGGAATAATGAAATTATGAACGAAATTACAAGAAAACAATTGCGTGATATGTACGTAAAATTAATGCGACAATCATATGAAAATGAGAGATAGACCATGTAGCCAAAAACTACGTGATTAGACCCTAAAAGGTTAAGGGGGTCGGTGTTCCCCCGTCTTCCCCTACATGCAGTTAACCTAGAAGTACAGATTTAAGTGCAACATGCCTAATGGATGTACTAACAAAACAAAATATAAAAAGCTGATAGTCAATGATGAGAGGTTTGTTACAGTTAGATAATAGCCGATGTGCCGGGGTTTACGGTTAAAAGCAACCCTGACAATCACACGCTCTTACCTTGAAGAAATCGTCGACGTCGAACTGCAACACATCAGTCAGGCTCGCCATCCTGCGTCTAAGATGCACCAACACCCAAATCTGAACGCTCACAAGACACTGAAGACGTCCTCACTCCTCGGCAGCACGGCCACAACTGGGGTACTGTGCCCCTCTGAACCCCCTTCCAGAGCGTTCTGTTTCGTCCTCGGGACATTTCCCACACTCCGAGTCTGGGAAACCGCTCCGGGGGTCCGAAATTTCGGGGATTTGGCTCGTTATAACCAGATATGTAACAGATCGAGGTAAGTCACATGCCTAAAATGTCAATCAAACCCTATCATTTGTACCCTCCAGGTAGCAATCGACCCGGGGGGCCGGTCTCCACCCTCGGGGACGCTGGTCAGTAACCAGAGTGATAGCCGGGAGCCCGGGCCGATGCAGGGGGTCGGGGTCGGGCGCTAATCCGCCGCCGCGCTGGTAAGGAGGCCGAGGGTTATCAGACCTCTCGCTGTCGAGACTGAGCGGACCGTGGTCGGCAAAACCGGCACTGCTCGGCACAGCTCGGCAATATCGGCCAAATTTGGCAAAGTCGGGAATACCGGCAGAATCGCTACTTTTCAGTGAAACCGGCAGCACCGCACTGAGTTTTAAGTATATAATTTTGTTAGTTGTGAGTTTCGTGTCTGATGCGAGCTAATGGCATTAATTCTGTTTATCTGAAATGTTCTTACATGACCTTTTGTATGCTTATTGTGAATATGTAATAGGATAAGTTTTTGTGTTCAGTTGATGGCTCCTCTGGTAAAACTGAGGAAACCCAGCTAAACAGGCAGCCTTTTGGACTTTGGACTCTCTCTCTCTCTCTCTCTCTCTCTCTCTCTCTCTCTCTCTCTCTCTCTCTCTCTCTCTCTCTCTCTCTCTCTCTCGACTCTCTCTCTCTCTCTCTCTCCACCTCTCTCTCTCCCTCTCTCTCTCCCTCTCTCTCACTTCCAGTTTTCTCTATTCCCTGTTCTATGTCTGTATCCGAGTGTGTGCGCCTCTTACTCCGTGCCCGTCTGTCTCTCGTTTTTCCCTTCCTCCCTCCCTCCTTCCATTCTTTATTCATTTTGATTTCCCTCCACCTAAGATTCATATATGCCTAACAGCTGTCATCTTTCCAACCACGACAAAGAAGTATGTTGTTTTTCTTTTGTTTTTATTTACCCGTAATAAATGCGTCATCATAACACTCGTCAATATTTAAAACACTTGCCCCTCCCGCTCAGGCTTCCCAACACAAAGGCACTGAGATCAGCATCCAGTCACCAGTGTCACACAGCCTTTGGCAGATGGGAACAAAGGAAACACGGCTAAAACGCTACACCACTGGCACTCATCATCACAGACTCGATTCACAATCCCAGGATGCTACAGAGCTCATCAAAAGCATTACCGTATAGCAACAGATTAGCACTGATGACACATCTTAACTATATTTGCTATAATTGCTTGAAAAGGGGAGGATGCATGATTACAGACATATGAATGGCGTGGTACTGCCTGAGACAATTATCTAGTGACGGCATTGGGCAATAAAACCACCACTAAATATCAGTAGCAATTGCTTGCACCGTCGGCTCAGCAGGGCCGGGTAAGGCCAGCAGAAAGAAGAATGACACGTCATTTCTTTCAAAGCCGAACAGCCGACTAGCAGCTCACATTGGCTGAGATTGACACTCGAATCCAGTAACGTAACCACCATGAACTGCATTATCGCTCCAAATCACACTGCACGGCGGGAATGGCCAACCAACAGCCCACGAATCACAATATTCACATCACTGACAGAACGGTGCCCGAAGTCACTAGTTACGGAAGGAGCGGAGGTACGTCTGCCTGAGCAGAAGCTCCTTCAGCAGGGTGAACCTAGCCTGGGGGTCGGAGAAGCGCTGGTGGATGTTCTGCCGCAGCCAGCCGGCCTCACGTGCCCTCTGCCACCTGATCCTCTCCTCCATTTCCCACTGCTGGTAGTCAAACACCCACGGCTGAGCCCCGGCGTGGACCCCGGCGGGACGCTCCTCGGCCGGCTGCTCCTGCTCCTCCGGGTCTTCGTCAGAGGACGAGGACGACCCGCTGCCGCTGCTGTCGCTGCTGCTGCTGCTGCTGCCGCTGCTGTCGCTGCTGCTGCTGCTGCTGCCGCTGTTGTCTGAGTCAGACTCTGACTCCACAGACGGCTCGGGACGTCCACCGTTCCCGTTCTCGTCTCCAGCGTCGGACAGCAGTGCCAGCAGCGGCAGCGGCAGCTCAGAGCCGTCCTGGCTGTTCTCGTCCCCGCTGACGTCTGAGCCGTCCGACCAGCAGAGCAGCTTCTGGAAAGGCGAGGGGAGCTTTGGTTAGCCTGGCAAGGCACACAGATGCTCACACAGTTTACCGACAATATATAGCAGCAGTGCGGCATTAGGTATACGCGCCTTAAATGTTGAATACCGAGTGTTATGCAGAAATCAAACTAGAATGACAACATGTGTTAGCTACATTACTCGTTATTCTTTAGATCAAAGTCTCGTCGCAAAATGACTCTCATTCCATATACCGGGTGGCCCAGAAAAAACGTTTCCAACTTTAAATCAATATTTCTCAGAAAGTGATAAAGATACAACATTGAAACTTCGAATAGTCAATGCGGCACATATTTTCAGTAAATGGTGGGATTTTCATGGTGTTCGGAGTAACTTTTTAAACGGTTCGTGTTTCAAGCATGCCATGTAAAAATTACTTTTTTGCTCCGATGTTTACTAACAAAATGTGAGTGAACGGGTCACTTTCACCCCGCGGCACCGCGGCCTAGAGCCATGACTTCTACTGGCAGCTAGTCTCATTGATGGTTCGGGTCTCAGGATGACACATTCCCTCAGGCAACCACGATGGCTCTGTGCCAGCGGCATCGGAAGAAGTTTCCAGTTTTCTAACCATCTTGTGGCTCAAATGCTTTCCTGGCTGACATTCCTGGGAAAAGGTAGCTTTTCAACCAGTTTTTTTTTTGTCATCTGCTGGCAGTGTTGTTTTTCATAAGCTATTCTGTGGTCTTCTGGCACAAGAACCAGTGTGCTTTAGTTTGTTTTCCGTATCCGGTCGATTTACTGTTTGATCTACTGAAAGGAGGGTAATCAGCAGTAATCCATGCACCGTGCCACTCCTGCTCGAAACATGATTTGGTGTTGAAACGAATGACATCCATGAGCACCATTTTGGCTCAGTATTTGAATATTTGGCACATAAGTGAGACAAAAATATTTAAAATAAGAACATACGTGTTGGTTTCATTCACGTGCTCTATTTTTTTTTATAACATAGGACGTCTAACCCAATCATCACTATCGTTTGACATCGGCAAAAAAAGCAAAAACCTCTTGCTTAATTCAACTCAAGATTCCCAGCTTGAAAATGATGGTATAGTGTTATAATTTGGCATACCAATGCGCAAAGAAATGACGCAAACTTGATGAAAATTTTGGCTCGCTATTTGTACTCGTATTTGATATATAGGCCTCCAAAGTTCGGAACGTTTTTTCTGGGCCACCCGGTAATTCTTCTGCGTCAAAAAAGAACGGCATGCTACTAGCGCAAAAAGCATATTGCTGAATGCTCAAACAGCCACCACACAGTCTTACCTCGAAAAACTCGTCGACGTCGAACAGTTCAGCCAGGTCCTCCATCTTGCAGACTGGGACCACTCGGTGCCGGACGCTCACAAGACACTGAAGACGTCCTCACTCCTCGGCAGCACGAGCGCAACTGGGGTACTGTGCCCCTCTGAACCCCCTTCCAGAGCGTTCTGTTTCGTCCTCGGGACATTTCCCACACTCTGTGCCTGGGAAACCGGTCCAGGGGTCCGAAATTTCGAGGGATTTGGCTCGTTATGACCAAATGTGTACCAGGTCAAAGATAGTGACGGGCTAAAAATGTCAATCAAACCCTGCCATCTGCACCCTCCAGGTACAAATCGACCCTGGGGGCCGGTCTCTGCCCTCGGGGATGCTGGTAGTAACCGGAGTGAAAGCCGGGAGCACGTGCTGACACGTTGAGTGCTAATCCGCCACTGGTAGATGGTCCGAACTTTAGGCTCTGAACAACCCCGATCGGCAAAACCGGCGCAGCTCGACAAAGTCGGTAAAGTCGGCAAAGTCGGTGCATAGTGTAGTTAGACGCATCTCTCTTTTTCTTTATCCCTCTCCTCTCTCCCTCTCTCTCCTCTCTCTTCCTCTCTCTTTCTCTCTTTACCATCCAGAGGGAAAGCGTTCCAGCGTTTATTCTCACCTGTTAATGCACACAATTGTATCCAGAAAAGATATGCTGAACATTCGCTGGATACACCTGGGAGAATAACCATACACTAAGAGCGATACGGACAGTATATACATACATATTACATCGTTTGGCAAGCATATACACTCGCCAACGTTCCATGAAACTCGATAGCCATTCCAAGACGTTGTAGCACAGAAACAAGTAAGATCATATTTACTATATACTTATCACTTCACCTACAAGAAGCCCATATGTATCATCACTTATCATTACTAGCCTAAATCAGTTTACATGTGCCAGGCACCAACACTACATCACACTGTATAATACCGCTGACAGGCCGGTGCTCTCACTGGCACCTGTAGGAGCGGTGGCGCGTCTCCTCGAGCAGCACCCGGTGCAGCAGGCCGGTGCTCGGTCTGACCCGGGCTCTGGCCAGCCGCTGCTGGATGTCCTGCCGCAGCCAGCCGGCGTCCCGCCTCCTCCGCCGCCGGATCCTCTCCTCCATCCTCCGCAGGTAGATGTCCACCATCCGCAGACGGATCCGGAGGAGGACCTCCTCCTCGGGAGGCTCCTCCCGCTCCTCCGACTCCCCGTCGGAGGAAGAGGACGAGTCCCCGCTGTCCGAGTCGGAGTCAGAGTCAGACTCTGAGGATGGTTCACCACCGTCCCCGTCCCCGTCACCAGCGTCAGAGGGAGGGGACGGTGGTGGCGGATGAGCGGGGTCCTCGACTCTCTCGTCCATGTTGATAGCGGGACGCGGATTCTGTGAACAAGCAAAG